TTGAGGATGTGTTGCGGGCATGAAGGAGAAAACTTCGAGACAAGGATAGCAAGCTTGTTTGGGACCTTATCCCAGGATGTATTATTTGGTGTGTGTGGAGAAAAAGGAACAACCGATATTTTGAAGATCAAACACAGACTACAGAGCACATTAGAGAATTATTTTTTTTGACTTTGTACACTTGGTTTAATGCCGCAGCTAGTAATCCTATTAAGGGGCTGCCTAACTTCATGTCGTTCCTTTCGTGTTTATTTTGATTATACACTTCCCCGTGTATTCTTCGTTGATTAATAAAATATTGAGATTACCTATCTACAAAAAAAAAAAAAGGGTCATATAGGCTATATTAAACATATCAAGTCATTGCCTTTGTACACTTGGTTTAATGCCGCAGCTAGTAATCCTATTAAGTGGCTGCCTAACTTCATGTCGTTCCTTTTGTGTTTATTTTGATTATACACTTCCCCGTGTATTCTTCGTTGATTAATAAAATATTGAGATTACCTATCTACAAAAAAAAAAAAGGGTCATATAGGCTATATTAAACATATCAAGTCAAATTTAATGGCTCGAGTATTGTTATAACTTATATATATGGTAATTGTTTAAAAAGGTTATTTGAGCTAATGCCTTGAGGCACGTCTCACGTGTGGCTTTTATTAAACGCCTTTTTTTATTGAGGCTTATGCCTCAAGGCTAAACCGAAGGATGGCTAAGGCATTTTCTCGTTCGTCTCGCCTTTTTTCAGTTTTTTATTATTGATCTCAGCCTTTTCGGCTAATTTTATAGCCTAGGAACATTTTAAGGGCTCTTGTGTTTCTCTTTTCCCTGCCTTCACACGAAAGGGGGAGGAGAAGGCACCATTGAAAGTGGAGCATGAAGACAAAGAGTGAGAAGAAACTGATAATGATGAGGAGGACGATAGGGGATCAAATAAGTAAATGATTCTCTTAAGATTTTATTAGTAGTGATATAAGATACTTCTAGGCATTTCTACTTCTAAGAGTAGTTATGAGATATTTCTAGGTATTTAAGTAGATTGCAGTTTGTTATGTGATTACTTATTTGAGAACTTATTATTTCATCCTTTATTGATGCATTTTATTTATGTTTGTTTGCAAGTTGGACTTTTATTTTTGTGAATTGGTTTTATTATGTATTTTCAAGATGCTTTATAGTTTATTATGAGCATTTTTGTGTTTTTATATTCTTCTGGTTTGTCTTGAGGCTTATGCCTTGCCTCGGTACCTGATTGAGTATACGGTTGAATCTCACGAGGACTTTAGTGGCTAAATAGGTGTTGTAGTATAGGCTTCACACCTCGAAACTTAATCTGGTGTTGGAATTATTATTATGTATACTTGAGCATCTTTTAAGTGAATATTTGACTGGCTTAACAATTTTAGCCGAGCTGCATGATATATGTTTAATTTTAAACTACATATCGAGCTTGCATTTTTTGGTGCTATTCCTTGCATAATTATCACCATTATGCATGTTACCAAGAAAATATATGAAATTGCGAATTGTATGTCATTCGAGTATGACAAATTGCAGAAATAATTTCCAGAAGTTCTCTTGGTTTCCACACTTTTTCTTTTTTAAAACAAAATCGTGTTTCCGATTTCGCAGTAAACTCAAGAGTTAATGGCTCAGAACTTGGGCCAAATTTAAATCAGCTTTGTTCTTTCTTGTTCTCTTTTCATCTTTCATGCACACAGAACACATACACATCAGCTATCAGCATTAATATTCCTTATCCTGTATTGACACCTGCCCCCAAATACAAATTGTAATATTCTTTGCTAGCCACTATTTCTCGACTTTGACAGATGATAATAATTTTAATGTAATCTGATGATGCCTCTGTTCATAAACAAATTTGTCAGTATTAATAAGACTGTTTTAGCATTCCAGTCATTACTTTGTGGAATGGGAGCACGTTTGGCTATGCTTAAAAAATAAGTAAAAGTTACATTTTTAGGTAACCATTTTTCCCCAATACATGTTTGGATGATTTAATTTTTCGTAAATAACTATACTATAAAAATGATTTCTTATTTTCCAAATTTGATTAGTATACAAAAAATTAATTTTCTTTACTTAAAGGTAAACCCATTAGGTTTGCGAAACATGCTCGTAATGCAATTCTCCTTAATAAGTTGTGATTTGGTCAAACTTATCTTCAAGTTTTGCGCACAGTTCAGAATCCGTTATGTTCGATAGTCAATTTGGCTTCTACATATTTTGTTTTAACATTTTTTTATCACATTCTGGTGGAGGCTATAAATTTCAGCTTTTATTACACAATATCTGTTTGTGACAGGAGAGTAGGCGTTGGAGATGTGGTAGTTCTAAAGGACCCTATGAGCACAGAGAATTATCTTGTTCGGAGGTTAGCTGCTATTGAAGGGTACGAGATGGCTTCTACTGATGAGAAGGACGAGCCTTTTGTCCTTGAAAAGGATCAGTGTTGGGTATTAGCTGATAATGAAACTTTAAAGCCTAAGGTATATGCGCCTTTGTGTCTAATGATTATTTCTTTTCTTTTTTTCAGTCATATTTAAAAGGGACCTCACCATTCCTGCACACCAGGGAAGTCAAAAATTTTATTGGTTCCTAAATTTTCAGGCTGTGTCACTTCTTTTAGAAAGTTTAGAGCATGTTTGGCAAAGCTTAAAAATAAGTGGATGTTACTTTTAGGTAACTTTTTGTTGCCTAACATGTATGAATAACATACTTTTTAAGTCAAATATTACTTATTTTGATAGTAGCTCATACTTTACTATTAAGAACATCTTCAAGTGACTCTTTCTTTATAAAGAGCATTTTATGCATTACAGAGAGCATATTTAAATTTAAAGAGTCAAAATTTTTATATACTCCAACAAGTTCTCTATTTTGGCTCTTTATTTTGCTTTTCTCAAGAAACATTTATTGATTTCTTTTCATATTTTATTTAATATAATTTTTGCTATGTCAAATGACCAATCAATTTAAATGTGTGATTTATTAAATGCAATTATTGTACATTAAAAATAGAGAATGTGTTTGGCTATGTAAATTTAGAGAGTCAAAGCCACTTTCTATTTTAAAAAATTAAAATAGAAAGTCTACTCGAGCTTATTTTTAAGCATTGATTCTCTAAAATAAAGAGTATTTTGTATTTAGATTTTCTTAGAGATGCTCTAACAGAAGTAACCTACTTATTTTCAATTTTTATTAGTAAGCAAATTATTAATATAAAACTCATATGCTTATAAGTGACTTTTTATGTTTCGTGTAACATGCTTGTCATGCCTCAAAAAGAAATTTCACTTAGTTCTAACAGGCGCAAAACAAATGATGGTTGAAGGCATTTCTTGGTGCTTGTTCTTGGTTCGTATTCATTTTCAAGTATAGCATTGTAAAAAAATCATGTTGCTTGGTGAATATGTTACCTTTAATGCACAAACTAACCATGAATATCCCCTTGTGAACCCCGATTATTTTTCCAAAAAATTTCCGAATTCATTTGTTACCCGTGAATTGTGATGTTTTCGATCTCTCTTGTAGCAGGAAGCATATGATAGCCGAACATTTGGTTCGGTTTCGATGTCTGGGATTATCGGCAGAGTAATATATTGCCTTAGAACGGACGTGGATCATGGACCTGTAAACAATAGGTTAGCCTTTTTCGATTATTTGACAATTAATTATTATTCAACTTTGTAGGAATTTTTCATCCCTGATTAAATGTTTTGTTACTTCGTCAGTCATTTTAGTTCGAGGAAGGATTTGCCTGTTCTGGAAGTTGAACTGGATGTTAATGAAATGGCAAAAAATCACAAAGCATAGATGTGAGTTGCAAAGAGAGAGGCTCTGCTTCGCTTGATTTCTATGTACCATCTCGTCGTTCAGTTGTCTTATCAGATCTCTTCCCATCTTCCAGTCGGCAACATCTAAAATAAGAGTTGTTGATCCTTCACAAGCTTGTCTCACTTCTGGTTCGCGCTCTTTCTCACAATGGCATATGAATGGCCTTAATGAAATCTGAGTTCACCGTTGTTCGTGAGACTATCTGCTTCAAAAGAATGTTCACTTAGAGGTTTTACTTTTATCTCGACCGTTGGATTGAGATTTATGAATTTTCGAGGGTATATTTTGTGAATTTACTTTTTACTATTTGAAGTGAGTTGCTAACTCCAAAATGTTGCATTGTATATTCATCTTCTTTGGCTTGAAAATGAGTCGCTTCTTTTGACTTCGACTTCCTTTATTCGTCAAAGTTGCGCATTTTTGTTTCGGTTAAAAGCATTTTTCAGAGTTGTTTATAATATGTTTAAATTATAAATAGATAGAATTGAATAATAAATAAATGAATAATATTTGTGGGTGACATGAAAAATGATAGGCCAATTACAAACGGACTATAAATGAGAGGCGAAAGAGGGCTTGTGCTTTTTGTCTATTGAGTTACTTCAAATGCTGACATGGTTAACGAAAATGATGACTTGGCAGGAAAATGATTTCGTGTAATACATTGATACTATATTTGAAATCTAGGAATTTTGATCAGGAATTTAAGCCACGTAGTGATATCGACTTTGTTATAGAGACCATCTTAGAAAGAGAAGGAATAAAAAAACGATCAACCAATTCGACGAACTACTTTAGCGAAAGTTTATGTGGATGTGTTGACCAAATTATGACGTCGATTATATCAATACATCTTTTAGAAATTTATTAGTAAAAATTGTAAATAATTGCAATTCCTAAAAATGTTTCATAATTCTGAACACTTCGGGAACTGGACTTGTCTGGATTGGATCCAAATTAATTACGGGCCGACCCATTTAGACAATCGGCCCATTTGAAGAAATGGGATCTGCCCCAAAACAAACCTCTTATTTACCCCTTATCTACGGTGAATATATAGCCACTGTACACTGAAATTGTGAGTGGACGTCTGAAATGCCACACCGCCATTGAAGAACATCTTCTTCTTGGTGTTTTCAAGCATGTTGAGTTCAATTCATTTAATCTACAATGCAGTTCCAGGTTTGTTTGTGTGTGAAGTTCTTGTTTTGCTTTTCTTTAGTTGAAGTACTGCGTACATGCTCGCACAAAAGCAGCAGCATTTCTGTTTGGAGTTTCACAATTTGTGGACTTTAAAGAACAACTTTTCATTAACGTGTTAATAAATGAAATTTATGTTGTTTGTTGATTCTGTCTATGCCTGATATCTGCTTGATGAAATGACTGTCTTAATATTGTTACTCTTTCTTTGAGCTAATAATTTGGTTTTTTTCTGTTTAATTTCTTGAATTAATCGTGCTTGTGGAGCATGTTTTCTTTGGCTAATATAGTTTGGGTTATTGTAATTTTTAGTTTAATATTTTATTAAGAGCAGTTCTTCTTAATGGCTTTGTTACATATTTTTCCCAATTCTTAGTTTGAAAAGCCCTATCACTATAATTTGGCCCCTTCACCATACAAATCAAACCCTCCATAATCCCAAACTAGGCAGTTTACCCCTCATTGTGGGGGTTTGGATGCCGGGATGGGAAGATGACAACGAGGGTTTACAGATGATAAGGAAATTTTAGAAATTTTAAGCGATATAATTCAGTTGTAAAAATTTTGAAAAGATGAGGTTTTTTCACATCGCAACTCAACTTAAGACCTTTTAGATAAATTCCTCATTTACAAGAGAAGTTTAGTACTAAATAATACATGACTAGTAATCAAATGTTGACTTATACAGATGACTTAAACATTAATGTATTGCGAAGTGTTGAACTTGAAATAGCGCATTTATATAGGTAGCTTCTTTTATTAATGTTCTACTTATAATTATTTGAAGGCGTGAAAGGGTAAAAATGAACACGAGACACTAACCATAGTCGACGATTAATTTGGCTCCTAATTCTGTTGTTCACATAAAGTGGCATGATATGTTGGACTATAGCTTATCTTGCTGCTCAAAACATTAATTGCTAAGAGCACGTGGGAAATGCTAAATTATACGGTTTTATGACTTTTACCTAGTATATGTGAGTCAGATTCGAATTGAAAATTGAAATTATTGAGGTGGATGAGGGGAAATGGAATATTGTCTCTTATTAGCTCTTCATGTTTATAGAGATACCGAGTTCTATTTTCTTATCCCACCAAATGGGGCCATTTAAAGGATGCAACCAATATGAGCATTTGATTCCATGGAGGTTTAAGTAACCCTTTTCAGTTTAGGAGAAACCCAATTTATTCTAGGTATTTAACATTCGAGCATTTGATTCCTGGGAGTTGTTATAATGTGGTTGGCTTTATTCCTCATGCTTCCAAGTGGTCAATGGTCATCATATCACATTGATGTAGCTAGGAACTGTGACTGTAAGATATTTATCACATTTAAGGAATAGTGTTAAATTCTCGGTTCCCTGTCGTCTAATTTCTAGACAACCTTAACATGGCAAAAGTTGCAAGACGCTTGAATTGATTCTTTTATTTCTGAACCCTACCTATCCACTCCTTGTCTTGAAGTCTTGCATTTATCTGAAATTTCAGGGCTTTGCTCTATGTTGTGTTGGATAGCATGAAATATATTACTTCTTGTAATTGAATTGCCTTTTTGATTGTCTTATTTGGTGATGAGATGTTAATGGCGAATTTGGAATTGAAATTGAAGATGCAGTTGCAGCTTGTAACCTTTTTCATGTGGGTGTGGGGGGTTGGGGTGTGGGTGGACCGATTCTGTCAAATGATTGAATAATATATAGTAACAAAGTTTGATTGCTGATCAAGCGCATAATCATGAGTCATGACTATGAGTCTATGGCTTGTAGATGATTGTGGTACAGTTAAGTTTTCTGCTTGGAGGTGATATTTACTATTGACAAGGATTTGAATTTATAGTCATTAGAAAATTAACAAGTTAAGACTCAGTATCCCTGTTCTTCGTCCCAGCTATGCTACATTCTGGCTAAACATCTCCACTCACATACAATTTTTTATGCAATCTATTTACCATGTTACCTTCCAATTTTTTGAACAAAAAGTGTTGGATCCTCTCTTTGGAAGCAACATGTGAACTGGGTCCCTGGTAGATTTTGCCATTGCTTTGTGATTTTCCCTTTTCTTTGAGACTTCTAATGAGCATCCAAATTTCATCACAGGATATGGGCCACCAGATGGATGTCTCCCTTGCTCCGGAGTTTCAGGAGCAGCAGCGAGCTTATCACCTAGCACTTCTCGCGGTGACCACAAAATCATTTTTGATGTCAAGATTTTATCTTTGAAATGTACTTCTAGGGGCAGAGCTTCTGCATGCAATGCAAGTTCTGATAGGTATAAAAGAAATTCAGATTTTTCAAGGCAAAACAAAAGTGGGTTCTCCCGCAGCAGGAACAGGTACAATGAAGAGAGAGATGGTTATGAGAACCTTGAAGAATCTGAAATTATTTCTTCAAAAAATGGTCCATTACTTTCTGTCTCCGGAAACCCAAAATTTCAAGCGACTTCGACTCCAGGTCCTAGGGAAAAGGAAATTGTCGAATTATTTCGAAAGGTCCAGGCTCGTCTTCGTGAAAGAACTGCAGTCAAGGAAGAGAAGAAAATTGAGGATTCGCAAGGAAAAAGCAAAGAGAGCGAGACTGTTGATTCTCTTCTCAAGCTTTTAAGGAAACACTCAGTTCAGCAGGGGAAGAAAAACAGCAACAGTGCCAGCACTAGGGACTTTGTCCTTGACCAGCCTGAAGAGATAAGTGCGTTTGCTGAAGACAGAAGCACAAGCATCGTAGACTCTAACAGTGTGAAGCAAGAGATGCAACAAAGCCAACCACATGTTACCAGGCCAGCATCTAACTTCCGTAAAAGGTCTCCAGTGCCTCAAGTCAAATTCCAGCCCATTTACTCAGACGAGGGCTCTATTAATTCTTTCTCACGTGGCAATGTAGATGGGAAAAGCAAGGAGATGGCTGAACCTGATGTAGAGCCAATTTTTTCAGAAGGGGACGTGTTCGATCAGATATCGGAAGACGAAACTTCTGAAATTTTTGAAAGCGACAATGATGTTGCGGAAGAAGAGAACCCGATCATAGCCAGTCTAAGTGGAATGAAGCTCTCCGAGTTGAGAGCTCTTGCGAAATCTCGTGGTCTGAAAGGATTCTCAAAGATGAAAAAACAAGAGCTCATTGAGTTGCTAAGTGGAGGCTCAATCTGATCTCCAATCCTGTAGTAAGCAGAAAACTTTGAATAACTTTTACATACTGGAATTTTGCCTACTTGTTCTTTTGTTGTTAGACTGTCTCACTTTTGGCTTTTGCAAGATCTCTGGTTTTCTTTTAAAACCTTCTAAATAGATTTGTAGTGGTGGACAAGGATGTTGGATTCTTTTACTTCATGTAATGTGGTTTACGTCATCTCTATTTGCATTTTTTACTCGAGTTGAGAAAGAGGGCGGCTAGCTTCCGCGAAGGCTTTCAAGATTGGGGATTATAGAGCTAGGGGTAAGTTAAGTAACTGTTGGGTAGAAATTAAAATCTAGATTTTAATATAAGTCAAAGTCAACAATGAATATTAATCACATATTTTATGAGACTCATAATTTTTTAACAATACATTTCATCAATTTTTATCGAAATGCATTAAAATCTGATTTTAATATCCACCAAATAGGGGCTAAATATTTGTCTATTGAGATTAAAACTTAGACTTGATGCGTGACTCATTTAATTGAACTAATAAAATATAGTCATCTAGACTAGTGCTTGTGCTAAATGTTCATGCCCATTTCATTGGTTCTATATCTTAGTCCCAAAAAAGCACAAGCCATGGTAAGGGACTGTTCACTTTCCATTATTAAAAGACAGTTACATAAATACTCGTACGAGTTTCAAGTTGATCGAAAATTCAGTTTTTATGTTACCATTTTAGTCCATAATATTTCTATTTACTTGCAAGCTAGTCCCATTAGGTATATTGAGGGTATTTTAGTCGATTTGGCATGACTTTTGAAAATTTTTGAAACTCAAAAGTTGTTCTTGGACTTGTTTGACTAATTTTATAAAAGTGCTTATTTTAGTTAAAAAAGTTTTTAAAGAAAGTTGATCCAATGTAGTTTTCTTTAATAGTACTTTCGAAAATGGAAAGTCTTAAAAATTAGTTTTCAAATAAAAATTAAAATAACTTTCTCATGAAACTCATTCATAGAAAGCAAAAGCAAAAGTAAAAGTCATGTCAAATTGAAATTGGAAGGGATAATATGGAATTTCATACTTCGGGCAACTGAAAGTATACATTTTATAATATCAAACTTCTATCGAAGAGAAGCAAATTAAAGGCTTTCATAAAAATTCTCATAGAATCGAGAATAAATATAACAGAGATTGAACGTGGATATTGATTTTTTATATTTATAATTGTTTGGGAGATATTTTTCCAGGTGAAAATGAGTTTTTTTTTTGCAGAATGTTTGATTTGAAAGTAGGAATAAGTTACGAGCCCCATAAAATATGTGAATAAAAATGATTTTCGAAAAAATTGATTAAAAAATATCTCCTAGACAAGGCCTAAGTTTAACAAAATCAAACTGTTGTATTGTACAAGAAATATTTGGTCAAAAGTTCAGGAAGCATGCTCGTTTTGTTTGATGGCTCTATTCAATAAATATTACAAAATAAAATAAAATAATAACAATATTGTCCCAAAAATTAATAAATTGTGATAGAAGTTTTTGAAATGCGTGGTTGAAAAATTGTGGGATTCATAAAAAATATTGTTAATATTGATTGTTTAACTTTGACTTGAATTAAAATCAGATTTTAATTCGTACCAAACAAGGATTAGATGTGAATCAACCGATTCTAATAATTAGAACCAAAAGGCGATGAAGTTTTACTAGAATTGAATCAAACTTATTAGGTCGGTCCGATTCGAGTGGTTTTGAACAAAATAATCATTTTTACCATATTTCGACTGAGGGCAAAGTAGTCAATTTACATAATACAATCCTTAAAAAAATGAATGGATCATTTAAATTATAGATATAGAAAAGCCAAATGCATCATTCTAATAATCCACCCATTCGAGAGAATCAATACGCATCTTTCAGAGCCCTAATTGTTTCATAATGACAAACAAATTAGTTAATTCCACCCACTACATCAAATTTTGCAGCTACAAGAAGGACCCACAAAGTTAATCCATCTGTTTTCCTTCTTTACTTTATTATTTGTCGATTTTATTATCCAGCTCTCTCTCTCTAATATGAAGCACTGTGAAGAGGGTTGGCAGCAATTCTTGAAAAATAAAATAAAATAGAAGGGCTGTTTTAATGGGATTTTCTGGCTAATTCTTGAAGATTGATGAATCAAAGAAATGGGATTTTCATAGTAAAGCTTGTTTCTTTCTGGGGCTTCGTCGAGATCCTTTTTTCCTTCTTCTTTTAATCCTCAAGCCCCAGGTAACAGCAGATATGTATTCTTAGTTTAACGTTGTAATATAAACTTGTCTCTGAATAAGGTTTAGCTCAATTGTGTAAATTTTTGGATTTTATGCATTTTTTTTAGTTTTAGTTTTTTCTGTGTGAATGTTAATGGCTTATCTGCTGTTTTCGAACTTGTTTTGGTAATTTTCTTTCTTCTTTTCCTCTCTCTTCTTAATTTTTGGGTTTAGTACCGTACAGAGTGGCTGTGATGTGTTAGATTACGGGATTTTTACTGATAGATTTTTTTTAAGCTTGCAAATGATCAAGAAACTCTGCTTCTTTATTGGAGAATGAAGAATTTATCGAATAATTCCTTAATCTTTTTGTCATTTATTTTGTGTGTTTGAGCCATGTTATTTTGGAAGAATGTATTTTGGAATTGTAGATTGATGGAGAACGTGCGGTTGGAAAAGAAGGAAAAATTATTGATGTGATGGAAAATATTATTTTATTGAAGTATGTGTGGTTGAAAATGAGTAGAAGAATGAGAATGAAAATTTAAATGTTGCTCAAACAGGGGAATTTGGCAAAGGGGTGATTTCTACCATACTTTGTCAATGGGCGGCACATACTGATTGTTGAAAGAAATTGACTTCATAATATTAAAAATGTCAAGCTAAATTGTTCTTAATGGTTTTCACTACTATTTGACCGCTGGTACAGAAATGGTCTCATCTTGTTCTTATGCAAAGGGGTGATTTAGTATCTATCATCCTCTACATGGGACAATTTCCAGTTGAATGACCATCTCATCTCATTTATAACTTGAATTTGGCCTCTAATTTTCTTCTCATGCGGCCTGTTTAATACGACCATTTTCACTTGATCGTGGATGTTTCAGTTCATAATTCTCATTCAGTTGTATTCACAATCTCTGCGGTGATAGAATGATGGTAGTCAGTCAAGCAAAGTCGATTCTAAATCCTTCTTAGTTATCAGACAGACGAGCAACTCTTAAGTGCTAGACAGTGTTTAAGTTTAGATTTTTTTTAATTTTTTTATCATTTAACCCTGCAAAGGAAGAACTGAATTAGTGAAGTCCTAACTTCGTTACAATATAGATATATTAACAATTCGTCTGAAATAAAAGCGATTAATTGAAATAGCATCAATATTCGACTCATAGGGCATTCTTGAGGCCACCGTCTAATTATATCACCTTCTACTTTTATCCTTTAGCATCGTTTGAATTCTAATTCTTCTTCTTCAGGCAATACTTGTTAAGTCTAACTAGTCAAGTTTTGACTTCTTTAAACAGGTCAATGGATTTAAATTCAGTAAGATACCTTACTAACAGTATTTCTCGATTTATTCACCTGCAACATGCCGTTTATTAAAGAGTATGCCTTCGGAGAAGGATTACAGAAATATAGCTTCTTTCTTGAAGCATTTGAAACCACTACTCGATAATGTCGCTGATCATAAGGCACCTCTAGATGAAATTTTATGTAAAGAGTGCGAAAAATTGGATGTAGCTGTAAACGAGGCTAGAGAATTCCTTGAGAAATGGTCTCCGAGGATGAGCAAGATTCTTTTTGTGAGTAACTTTTGATTGAATTTGGCTTCATCCTTTCTATTATTATAGTTTAGCATTTTGAGTCTGAGCAGGGAAAGTAATGCATAAGCATGACACTAAGTATGCTTTAAAATTTTCAAAATTAAGTCCAGAAGCTATAAACAATGGGTTTTTGATAACTAGTTATGTGGGGAATCGTAATCTATTCTTAAATAATCTCCAGCTCCATTTGAATTCTGGAGAAGAAATTGAAGAACTTTTGTCATGTACTTTATGCTGATTTTGTTGTTTTCTTCTCTGCTATGTTACAAATCCAAGACAATGCGGGGAGGAAGTTGTTTTAATAGTTTTGCAAGATTACAGTTCCTTTTTCTTTTTATCTATTATCTTATATTTTTAAGTTCTGCAAAGCAAGCCATTTATCCTGAAAATCCAATCTCCTCGGTCAATATGTCTTCCATTTTATGTGAACTGGTTGAACTATCACCATCTACTTCAAGTCTATCTGATGCACAGGTAGGGATACAATTAGAGAATACAAAGTTGACAATAGAAGTAAGACTTAGGGAAGGATCATTCCCCCCTAGCCCCTTCGTCGGGAGGATGTACCCCTATTCTATTTCCTAAGTCGGAAATAGTGGGGCAAACTTGGATGAAAAGCAACCAGAAGCTTCATCGGCTCTGTTCTCGTCTCTGTTAACATTACTAGCCGGGTTGCATCTTGATAATACCCAGTGCATCTGATTTATTTTTCCTGTCTCAGTTCTGTAAGTTGGAATCTCAAAATCTGAAGCTAGACAAAGTATCAGAACTCATAGAAGAGATGCTTAGAAGCCAAAGTGAAGGGATAACTCTTCATGCTGATGATCTCATTTCAATAGGTAAGACCCTTAACTTGACCTCAAATCAGGAACTCTTGAGTGAGTTTATTGCACTAGAAAATGAGAGAATCAAAGCTGAAGAGAATCAAGAAAAGGGGATTTGGATCAAATTACTCGTGCCATTGAGTTTATGTCCCGCATTTGCTATTGTGCGGTTAAGCTTGAGAACTTTGAGGCCGTGCAAGTCATTTGGATTCCTCCATATTTCTGCTGTCCTTTATCTCTCCAACTCACGCTGGATCCAGTTATTGTTGCTTCTGGCCAAACCTGTGAGCAGGCTTCCGTTCAAAAATGGCTGGACCATGGATTAACTACTTGTCCCAAAACTGGTAAAAAACACGCACACAACAATCTCATCCCCAATTATACAGTTATAGCTCTTGTAGCAAATTGGTGTGAGGAAAACAAATAAGTCTCCAACCCTAGACGTGCTGACATTGTTGTAACTTAATCTCAGCCTGAACATATCAGTCATGAAGATGATCTCCAATGTCCTTTACAAATGATAAATTCAACATCAAGATCCTCATTTGAAGTCGGACATGGCTTTGAGAAGCAGAATGTCCATGGTTTTTCTGGACTGAAGGATGAAAGATATGGTGTTTTGGGGGAGAAGGCAGTTGAAAAGTTTGACCACTCATCCTCCGAACATTCATATGTTCATAATAGGAGTGAATCAACATCAAGTGCTGTTTCCAGCATTGATTATCTCCCTAAAGCATCAACTGATGCCTCTAGGATATCAAGCAAGCATTATGATATGAGTGATAGATCAGGGGATAGAACATCTAGTTTTCCCACTCGATCTACTTCAAATAAAAATTCAGGGGTATCCCTATCTTTATCTGCAAAACAGTATCACAGCTCAAAACAATGGCTGAAATGGTGGTGAATGGAAAACACAACCCTCTAGAGTACACTCATTTTCATGTGAATCGGGTTCAAATGCTTTGACTTCTACTTTCCATGTGGAAAAACTCGTTAAAGAGTTGAAGAGCGAATCAACCGAACTACATACTGCAGCTGCAGAAAAATTACGGTATATTGCCAAGTATAACATAGAGAATTGTGTCGTTATAGGCTTCTGTGGGGCCATTGCTCCATTAATCTCACTGTTACACTCGGATGTGAAGCTAACCCAAGAGCACGCAGTCACTGCACTTTTAAACTTACCAATTAATGAAAAGATCAACGTTATTATTGCAGAAGAAGGCACAATCGAACCCTTTGTCCATGTTTTGAGACCGGAAATGCAGGAGCCAAGGAGAATGCTGCAGCTGCTCTTTTCAGTCTCTCTCTTCTGGATGGGTACAGGATAAAAATTAGTCAATCAGGGGCAGTTAATGCATTGGTTGATCTTTTAAGATCGGGTACTTTCAGAGGGAAGAAAGACGCTGCAACCACCCTATTTAACCTATCCATCTTTCATGAAAATAAGGCTTGAATTGCTCAGGCAGGAGCAGTGAAATATCTGGTTGGATTGATGGCCCCTGAAACAGAAATGGTGATAAAGCTGTAGCTCTTCTTGCAAATTTGTATACTACCAGAGAGATTCTCAACTATTGATCAAAAAGGGGGTATACCATTACTGGTTGAAATTGTTGACACAATATCACAACAAGGAAAAGAAAATGCTGCCTCGATACTACTACAACTGTGCATTAATAGTTCATGCTGTTGTCAGAGTGTTTTACAAGAAGGGGCTGTCCCACCTCTTGTCGCATTGTCTCAATCTAGCACTCCAAGAACAAAGGAGAAGGTATGCAACTCCATATGGGCTTCCCTTAGTTGCCCATTCTTCTCTAGTTTTCCTCTAAATAAATCCGAACATATTACGAATTTGCAGCTATCTTCCTTTCAGTTTGTTGGTTTAAGAAGAAATATCGTGGAGATATTATTTACCCTATGTTCCCCCCCCCCCCNACTTCCGCAACCAACGTGAGAGTGCTATAGCGAGAGGGACGCCGTGAAGAGGAAATTTTCATGTCTATTTTGTTGCGGCTCGTGGCTGCCTTCGGTAAAACTTCATGGCAGCAGTTTCTCATATATTAAGTTTTTGGACAATTATTCTATATCAATTTATGTTACATGCAAATAGTGGTAGATTTGTTTGCTGTTTCTGCCTGTGATGTTTCATCTTGTAGTCGCTTTGGTTTTAGCTGCACTAATGCAAGTAGTTTTATATGTTCTTAATTGTATGATATATATTTTTTTTTTCAGTCGCGCTACACTTACAGAAAGCCATTACCAAAAGCTGTGCAACTGACGTGGCATTTATGGGCGTTTAAAAGGGCCAAGAAAAGAACAAAAACGAAAAGAGAGAGAGAGAAAGCAGGACACCCAGCATTTTTCCCAGTTCCCATTTCATTTTCCCCCATTCGTTACTCCAGCTCTCTGAAACCCTAGAGTTCCATCCTTCCCGACCTCCGTCCGGCGGCGACCAGTGGCGTGGGTTGTAATCAGTCATTGCTCGAAGCTATCTTGCTTCCCCTCACCCTGGATTTGAAAATTTTCAAACCACAGACGATTTTCCCTGAATCAGACGATTTTCGCGATACTCTCCTCATCGTGTCATCACCGCCAGCAAGTAGGTCCCTTCCGTGTACTGCCAATTTTTGTTCAGTAAATATTGATTGGTATTTGTTGAACTAGGAATGTAGGTTTCCTTGAATCAGACGATTTTCGTTGAATTGATATGCGTTTGCGTGTAATTGATAGAAAAATACTGGTATTGTTAAGGTTTTGGGTAATTGGGATTTCAAAACAGAGAACCCGACTGTAATTGATATGTGGTATTGTTGAAGTTTCGGGTTCTCTGTTTTGAAACCTCAATTTCATTCATTTTCACTGAAATGCAGCTAAAATAGGAATGTAGGTTGAGTCTGCAGTTAACCATTGTTTGAACTGGGATATTGAAGGTTTTCAGTCATAAGTAAATTTTGTGTTTGAGTTTTGAAATTGATGTGTGTTGGTGGAAACTCCTTTCAAAAATTCGGGAAATTTGGTAGAATTGATGTGTGTTGGTGGAAACTCTTTCAATTGCCAATTTGGTGGAATTCTGTTGTGAAGTGCCAATTTCATTAATTTTTACTGAATTGTAGCTGAAAATGGCTTTTAATTTATTGAGTCTACTATTGATGATGAGATCGCCACTTTTCTTATGATTGTTGTTGTTGTTTCAGCCCACGATGAGAGGTAGTAATTTTGGTATTTGTCATAGATGTAGAAGCACAGAGTACTTCTTTAATGACTGCCCGATGAAACGGCGTTGCCCAGATTGTGCACATGGATTGGTGAAATGTTTTAAGGTTGAAAGAGAGACCGATAACAAAGGGTGATTATTCAAAAAATGCAGTAGAAATTGTGGTTATTTTGATTGGGTAAAAAATGAAGAATCTAGCGGTGAATCGAGTACCACGAATGAAACGGTGAATCTCCAGGCAATTGAGGAAGATGAAGATTTGTTGACTATGTTTGACGGACTAGCTCGAATAGCCCAAAGACGAGACATCGAAATTTCGGTTAACTTCAATCATTGATATCCAACTCGCTTCGACCCAAGAAACACGAAACCCAACGACTTCTGTTCTCGTAAAGGCCAGACAACCAATCATTATCGTGCAACTCATAACAATCAATCGTTGATATCCAACCCACTTCGAACTCATCAATTGTTTGGCAATAATACACTGCATTGTGTATAGCAGAGAAAATCGAACTTTTATGAATGTGGTATCCAAACTTTTCCGGTAACTTCTTCATATTGTGCCAAAGACACCATCTATGTTTAGTATTTGGAAAAACAATCTCAATTGCATTTTGCATAGATTTATCTTGATCAGTAATTATGCCATGGGGGGTTGACCATATATGCACTGCAATCACGTCTTAAATAGCCAGACAAATGTACCTGTATTCTCATTCGATAACAAACTACAACCAAGCAGCGTTAATTGTCTGTGATGATTCACGTCAACAAATGGGGCAAATGACATATCGTATTTATTCGTTAGATACGTATCCGAACTCCTTGTACGCTTGCCTACACCTATTATTTGCCCAAAATATATTCTTGAGCCGTGACTCGTCGTCTACATCCATACTGAAGTAAAATCCCGAATTTCATGCTTGCATTTGTGAAAAGTATGAATGTAATGCTGCAGCATCTCCTTCTCCAAGTCTTAACCGTCTCACTTGTTCGATGTAGTTGCGACAATCTCTTTCTACAAAAGACATTCTCATATCCACCTGCTTCGACAACTGTGGAGTTGAAACTTTTGTGCAACGGAATCCTTGCCATGTTATTCAACTCGAGCTTCCGTTTCACATTTGCAGTCAATCCTCGGTTGCATCGATATAATCTTGACTTCGAAGGGCTTGTTTTGTGATTGTGCTCGAGGTGAACGGTGTTAATTCTCCAAATTCCATTATTGTCTGCCGATGCAGTTATCCTCGCTTTACAATCAATCTGACTGGTCGGTTGCGGCTTGAAAGATGTGCTCGAATTTCGATTTCTTCGCCCTTCACGACTACACGTCAATGTCACATATCTAACTACTCCATCATCCCCCTTTTTAGATTTCATTTTCCTCACTGGAAACCCTACGGGTGTACGCATATCGTTTATAAAAATCCAAAACCTCGTTTTCATAATCAAACATCATACCCGCCTCCAACACTTTCTCCTCATTTTCTCCTAACATTTCCTCCTCGACAATATTTATATTGTCCGCCACTATTACACAATCGGGTTGCAGCAAAGGGTCTTCATTCACGCCTTCCATGGTCTTCAAGAAACTACAACAATGTAGTGATGCAAGTCATATTACAAACAAAGTAATAACATGAAAATGGAGAAAAAAAAGGATAATTCACGCTATAATGCAAAACGGCTCTTTCACAGTAGTGAAAGAGAAAAAAATGGACGGACATGGTTGATTTCTAAAAAATCTGAAACTGAAAAATCATTCAATTTGTGAGGATAACTGAACCTACTCATCCTATACATTAATCCACTTTCAATTTGTCATACCCGGGAAATTAGAGAAACTACAACCTTGTGCAAATGATTCACTCGATAAACAAAAATCATCTCCACAATTCCTCAAAATCCCACCATATCACAAAACATTCAAAATGTGGAGGCTGATAAGTCAGCGGCAAGCACGAGGATGAGTGTGACTCCTTTTGTGATAAACTATGAACTAGTGCTTGAACAAAAAGATTTCAGAGCTATAAATGTTGACATATGATTGATTTCATCTTTAACAAAGAGTTCAATGCCAGCCATTACCGTTTTCGGCTGTAGATTTCCCTTCAGCTGCAGATTTATATTGATTTTTGCAGAATTTTCAACACGCGACGCGACGAATTTTCAATGGCTGCAAGATCAGCTCAGTGTCCGTTTTCAGCTGTGCAGCTGCAAATCTATAAATCTGCTCACAGATTGGCTATTTTCAGTCGCTGCAAGATCGATTAGTTCATCGATTTAGGAAGAAAAAGGGCGATTTTGCTGTGGGCAGGACTGAGGAAGGAAGGAAGAAAATGGCAACCAAAGTGACCGAGGAAGAAAGAGAGCAAAATGATACCAATTTCCCTCTATTTTGGTCTCCAGCACGTGGCACGCCCCTTGCACGTGATTTTTTTAATTTTCTGTACAGCTTCTGGTAACTCACTTGTGTACACCCATCATTTCTCATTTTTTTTTGGAAAATGTTGTTTTACTACCAGGCCTGGTAAAACAGCTCTTCTCACATTCGGGACCCACCTCATTAAAAAAACCCCCCAAAATGTTTTATCACCCACCCCCCTAGCACTCAACTACTTTACCAGATCTTGTAACGATCTGGTAGAGTAGCACTGTTCTTTTTTTTTTTTCATGGTATGGAGGTGTATATAATTTCTATTGGCTATGAAGCACGGATAGTCCTACTAGGGCGGCATGGTCGAGTCTTGTCTGACACTCCATGACATGAATCTGACAAGTCGCGTGTCATGTCCCGTGTTTTATGTATTTCTTAAATTTCTAATATTCGATGGTAGGTGGACATTTCTCAAACAAGTGTTTGACATGGTATTCTCTACGTCATATATTACAACATCTATATTGATATGATATATAAATTTATTAGTTTAAAGAATTTAAATCGATATGTTTCAAACATGTTCGTGTTTACATTTTAGAAAATCATGTGTATGTGTATCACAATAGATAATAAAAAAAATGAAACAAATTATCTAGCTACTCGTATGTAATTCAAAACATGGTCATTCGCAACTTTATAAAAACTATCTTAATTTTTTTAAAAAAGAAAATGTTATTATACTTTAATAAAGGTTCCTACAAAATAAATACATGGAAATCACTTTCAAAATAAATTAATATATTAAAATCTTCTTTATGAACTTCTATAATTATGTATATCCAAATGGGGAATCCTCATATTTACTACATTTATACAAGTGGAAATTACATTGACAACAAGTGTTTAAAGATTATAATTCATAAATCAGCTATGAAGTTTATTTGTTCACATATCAAGTATTAATATAATAATTAATAAATATCTCAACCCAATATCAATTCCAAACCCTAAAAATCATTTCATTCTATTCTCACTTTCCATCTTCTATCTTCTCACCCTTTCCACCTATCCACACCCCTCTTAATCCGGTGACGACGACACATCCACTGTTGGAGTCCATCGTCACACACATGACGACGACCTACTGTCGGAAATTTCTGCTGACACACACTTTCTCTTCTCACCCTGAAGCATCATGTTGAGTGCCAATTCACAACGACGCTCCACCCATTGTTGGAGATGGCGACGCTCACATTGGCGACGCACCCACTATCGAAGATCGCCGCCACACACATTTTCTCTTCTCACACACACACACACACACACTCTCTCTCTCTCAACACTATCGGAGCATCAAATTGAGCACCACCTCATAGAGGCGCTCCACCCACTGTGGGAGATGGTAGCGTTGTGAGCGCCACCGCTGCTGAAGCGTCGACAAATCACATATTTTTTTTGGTTATTTTGATCATTGGTGATTTGCTTGGTTATTGGTTTGTTAGTGATTATGGTGATTTTTGTTGGCAGTGGATTGAATCTGGTGGTGGTGGTGGTGGTGGTGGTGTGGCGGTGGTGGCGACAAGGTGAGGGTAATCACAAGTGGCGGTGGCGGTGACGGTGGGGATAGTGGTGGTGGTGGTGGTTGTGGTCTGTGTCCTACTATTTGGTATATATGACCAACTATTTAATCGTGATCTAAAAATTCAATAATTTGTGACTATAAAATAATTTGTTATCAACTAATTTGAAAATCCGTGATTGACAAATAAATTGTATCTTATAAATTTTTTTATTTGTGACCGGTGAAATAATCTGCGATCAATTAATTTGATAATATGTGACGTTGCGATCTACAAGTATGAACATGTGACCATTAATTATATAATTGTAACTTTAATATATTTAATTAATTAATATCACAGTTTTGAAATTTGAAACTTAAAACCTAAAAATTGAATTGCCTCGTACTTGTGAATTTTTCCTTTTGTATAATAGCAAGTCAATTGGTCCAAAAAAAAAAGTCAATTGGTCCAAAGACGCAACAATGTTTGTGAATGACACATGCTTTCTAAACAATTGAATTAGTAAAACAATTTATTATTCTAAGCTTGTTTACGAAATGCTTATCCAACTCAATGACATCGATATTTCTACCTTCCGGTATGTATTATTACATTTTTAGGTCATTGATACTGATATTTTGATACATAGTTGACAACTCAAGAATGACAACTAAAAGCATACTTGTTATCAACAAAATATTATGATCCTTGACGCTGACCACGACTTTCTACCAATGAAAGATATTGATAGTTCAATGCTCCCATCAACATTGCAGAGCTAAGTTCAACTAAATATACTCTCTTGATGCATATGGTATGTTCACATCATAGAATTGTATCGCATGCTTTCTTTCTTAGTTCAAAACAATATTACCACATCGTCTACTATACTTAAATGAATGATGATCTTAGACTCTTGCTTTTTTGCCATCAATTACGGCTTCACAGGGTCGATCTATTTCTTCGTGGCTTGCTTTTCTAGTGACTATAACCTGAAGATTCTTTATTATTATTTCAATATCGCTATGCCTTTGATGATGACTGCTTTAATGTATACCTCATTTTCGACAAGTTAGGAATCTACACTCTTTTATCACCTGAAGTAGATAGTTGTATTTTTTGAGTGAAATCCTAGGGAGTTTAAAGGTCTAATGTCTAGTACAATGCTAGCTTTGCTTTCTCAAGAACATAGTGAGAAACTTGGGCAAAATTTTGTCACCTTTAGTGCTGCCCGGACATGGATTGGAGGAAAAAATTTCAGTCCACGGGTAGTTCATTATACTTTCTATGCACTTTATTTGTCCTTTAAACCACTATATTATCTGGCGTCACTAAACTTAGATTCAATAATCCATGCCTTTGTCCTCTCCAACGGGAGCAAACTAGGTCATATGGTTCGGTACAACGGGGGAACACCATAATGCCAACATCTTTATCTCTACTAAACTATCAAACTTTGGCACGTCGGGTGTACTATTTTTAGATAAAATTATACATTATCAAATGAGATAATTTAATATGATACCAAAGTACGCATCTTTCGCTACTTATTTATGAAAATTATGCATAAAGTAGATATTTGTTGGGAAAAATGAATTCGATTAGCATATATATGCCGTTCACAATTCTCATTGGATCTTAGCTTGTCCGAACTTTTTAGACTAAAATCGTATTGAGTCTTGATATTTTATTTTAAGAGATTTTGATAGTATAAATTCTTAAAATTTAATTATTGTATTATTATATGATCGACGTGGGACTTTTACTCTGAAAAAAAAAGTTCCATATGGAAAACTCCGCTATTGCAACATAATGTATATTCATTAATCAAATTTTTTAAAATAGATTTTGATAAAAGTTGTGGATTTCATAAAATGTGTAGTTAAAATTATTTATTGACTTTGATTTAAATTTTTATAAATTGAAGTATGGTAAACGTCAAACTCAAAGAACAATGGATAATGACTTGAAAATCCCATGCATTAAACTGTGTAATTCGAATTTTGAGAAGCAAACACTTACAATTCTGAAGCCTCTCGACTAAAATCCAGACAAGTAACACATTTAGGCTTAATAGAATTCTAGGGTTGGCACGTTTAAACCATACTTAGATATTCACGAATTCTAGTGGTTACATAGGGGTGGGAATATAAGAAACCCCAACACGATAGTTCGGCTACCTCAAGTGATTTTTATACGTTACTTTTTATCTATTGAACGTATATTAAATCTGGGATCCATTCACTTTAAGAGATATCGACTATCTATCATCTATTTTCTATTTCAACGAGATGTATTTTAGATAAACATTATTTTCAAAAGGAAACTTCCTCAAGACATTCACAGTTTTTAGAAATTTTTATTGTCAAGTAATATTAAATTGCAAAATTTTCATTGTCAAATAATATTGCCTCATCATGTCAAATTTTGAAGTTAATTTTTTTTTTTTTTTTTTT